GGGGGGGGGGGGGGTTAAGGGGTTTATGTATTAAAATCGGGCTTAGGGTTTAGGGTTTAGGGCTTAGGGTTTAGGGTCTAGGGCCCAAATGGTGCCAGTCGCCCATTCGTGCCCCGTGGCGCAGTGCTGCCACGACGGGGCAGTCGCCGCTCGCGGAATCTCCAATGAGTTGAAGTGATTTCGATGTAATAATTCCAAACATCAAATATCCATAATGAAGGGGTTCCGGGAGGATTCTAGCTTGTGCTGGAGTCGTTTGGGGTCCAGGGTTAGGGGTTTCCTAGGCTGTTAGAGAGGGTCATAGTGGCCTCAGACGCAACGTGCAGCAAAAAAAAGAGGGTCATGAAAAAGGCTGCTAACGAGATCCCTTCAAACAACCCAGATTTCGGGAAGCTTCTCCGTAAAGAGATTTTGTTCGACTGCTGTCCCGGTATCTTCGAAATTATCAGCCCTACGGTAGGAATTAGGTTGCTGTAGATCTTGATAGGGCATTATCATGCACGATTTTAAAAAAATTGCGTATGCGGTGTAACTGGGCTTTGCAAGACGTCAAATGGGGTGCATAGGATTTTAGAGGGTTTTCGGGGATGTCGGTTCAGGATTGAGGTGCGGCGCTGTCGGGCTTTAAGACCCTGAGGGTTTAGGGTTTAGGGTTTAGGGTTTAGACCTCAGATGTGACTTGGGTGTTCGCGTCCCTAAGGGCGCCTGCGACGGGATGGGTGTCTCCTGAAACTGCATGCGGCAGCTTAAGGTGTGAACCCGCAAGGTCAAGAAGAATACCTCCGTATTTGTCAGCCAAGTTTCTGGACAAACTTTGCGGCTAACCCTTCCGAATCATACAGATGTTATATTCCCTAAACCCTAAACCCATATGACTACCTCGAAAATATCATAAATTGCCCCTAAACCCTAAACCCTAAACCCTAAACCCTAAACCCTAAACCCTAAACCCTAAGTACTCAACCATGGAGTCCCCAATGCCTCGTCGACGTAAAGGCTCTTACCGCGCTCCGGGTCAGGCGCCTGCGTGCGTTCATCCGAGCTTTCGGGATGGGGGGTTTAGTGCGGGGCATCAGGAATTCGACTAACCCTAAACCCTAAATCCTAAACCCTAAACCCTAAACCCTAAACCCTAAACCCTAAATCCTAAACCCTAAACTAGGCCCTAAACCAGGGTTTTGGGCCCCTGTATAGTCTACTTTCAATCAGGAGCCTTAAGGAACAATGCTGGTAATTATTTAGGCTTCTATAGATATTAGGCTCGAGAGCCTGCGATTTAGGGTTTGGGGGCTTGGGGCAAACCGAAAGAGCTAAAGGCAGTTGAAGTTGAAGGTTGCCTACTCGGCTGCCGAGATGCTGCAGCATCCCAAACTTCCGACACGGATATAAGCTTTAAGCTCCGAAACCCAGATCCCTAAACCCTAAACCCCAGCGTTGCTGCGTCGCAGCCCTGGCCTCTTGCGCAAGGCTTGCTCAGCAAATGGCGTGTTTTCTTGCAGAAACCACGTCTCGTCCACACTGTTGTCGACGTACTTCTGCACCTGGTAAATGTCTTTGCGCATGGGTACTTTGAAGATACCGCGCATTTCTTGGCCCGCAACCTCTAGGGTCACCCCCTTGGTCGTCCCATGGCCCGTCTAGTTTATCATGCCAGTCCGCGCTAGCGACGAACTCCTTCTCCGGATCCTGGATCACCAAGCCGGTCCTCTGTTTGGACTCCAGCTCCGAAGCCCTCCAAATCCACGCGGGGTATACAACTTAAATCAACTTAACAGGGTTTTGGGCTTAAGGTTTAGGGTTTAGAGGCCTGGCCCAGTTCCGGTTCTCAAGACCCCTGCATTACGGTAAGGCCTATGCACATCAAATCCCCTAAACCCTGAGCTGACCTCCCTCGACCAAACCGTCCGATGGGAACTTCAGGGACTATAAGGCTAAGGGGTTTACGGTAAGGGTTTAAAACCCTAAACCCTAAACCCTTTGCAACAAAAAAGACCCGGAGCCGGAAGCCTACTGCAAGGATCAGGGGTAGTTGTAAGTCGTTTATCAGCAAGACTACTTAATGCTGCTTAAGTAGACTGAGCTACTTGATTATAAGCGGGTTAGGGTTTAGGGTTTAGGGGTTTAGGGGTTTAGGGTTTAGGGTTTAGGGTTTAGGGTTTAGTACTTCCATGAACCCAAATCAAGAATGGTGTTAACAGTCCTGTGGCTCAGGGTAATTTTACGCATGACAACCGAGGAACACTCAGCAACGCATCCCCAAAAGAAGGCGCATAAAGACACGCAGGGCTTCAGGGAAACTGCCAACCCTAAACCCTAAACCCTAAACCCTAAACCCTAAACCCTAAACCCTACACCCTAAACCCTAAACCCTAAACCCTAAACCCTAAACTGTTCATCTCCGTCGGGTATCGGGCCTGTTGACGGCGTCCAACAACTGGCAACACCCCAAATAAACCCACAGCCGAAGATTGTAACCGCAATCCAGAACCCTTCACCCTGAACCCTACACCTAGCCTAATCCCGGAACCCAGAAATAGAACCCAAACCCCAATCCCTAAACCCAGAACCCTCAACCTAAATCTCGAAACCCAGAACCCTCAACCCCAATCCCTAAACCCAGAACCTAAATCTCTAAACCCAAAACCCTAAACCCTACAGGTTGCATCCTGGCCCACCCATAGCCCGGACCCTCAAGACTGGCGTTTAGGGTTTAGGGGTTTAGGTTTAGTGACTAAGTGTAGGGTTTAGGGTTTAGGGTTTAGGGTTGAGGGGTTTAGGGTTACTAATCCTCAAACCCCGAATAAAACCACATTGAATCCTAATCCTCAAGCCAAGGCTGCACTGCACCCTAAAAACAACCTTAAATCCTACGTGGCAAATCCACGGAACCCTCCAAAACCAAACACCCCAAAGTAGGTAGAATAACAGCCCAAGACCTATAAAAGGCTGTTATTCTACATACTTGTGGGGGTCGAGGTAAACCCTAATTACCCCAAACCCTAATCTGAGTTGTAGTTTTGGGGCCCTGAAAAGTATTTATAAATAGGTACCTCTATAGTAACCGTAAGGGGGTTTAGGGTTTAGGGTTTAAAGTTTCCAGAAATGCCGCCAAGTAATACACCGCGAGCCACGAACACTCAGGCACCAGTGCCTGAATCGCATCCAACAGCGCCCGTCGGACCTCTTAGTGCGAGTAGTTCTCCAAATTAGGTTCCCGTTTAGGGTTCCCTAAAGTGATCCTTAAAGGGATCTATAAGGGTTTCTATAAGGGTAGTATAAGGTTTCTAAAGAGCTTCAGGGTCGCATTTAGGGTCCGTTTTTATCAGGGCGCCGTAGTATATTGGGGACCCAAAAAGGAACCCGAGTTTGGAGAACCACCCATGTATGGCCTTAGAGCTTTAGTGTTTAGGGTTTTTTTGGGTTCTCGTTTGTAGGATCTTTAGGATGTCTTAAGGTCTGTAGTCTGTCTGTGGCTTAGGGTTTAGAGGTTTAAGGTTCTAGGAATATTGAGTTTTTCGGGTCTAGGGTTTGAGGTCAAAGTCTCAGGCAGACGGGGCGACATGATCATGGTAACTAGGTGCCTGAATAGTCAGAACAGCATATGATGACCAAACTCTAAGAAGAACCCGAAGGAATAGTAGTACTAGCACTGAACCCTGAACCCTGAAACCTGACCTAATCCCTCTATCTTGTTGCGGGGCGAGTCTTCTTGAAATCGGGGGCTCCCTCTGGTTGTAGTAGAGTCATGATCCCCCAAGCCTTGACCCCGATGTCAGACTATCACAGGGTCCAGTTTACGGTTGAGGGTTTAGGGGTTTGGGGTTTAGCGGTTTTGGGTGTAGGAGTTTAGGGTTAGACCGGGGTGCTCTTACTCTCCAACGCTCCTGGAAGGGGCAACACAGGAGATCTTAAGAGATGAAGCTTGTAAACCCTAAACCCCAAATACATCAGCCACCACGGAACGGCGGGTTATGTGCAGTGCCGTAGAACCCCTTGTTAATGTTAGGGAGCTCTCTCCACTCTCTTATAGGGATGGCAGAGAATACAAAAGAACAGCTAGGTTACTGTGGCCCTTGTCGTAACATAGAAGATATGTGATATATGATTTTGGGAGGCCGTCCTGCTGGCATTCCCAGGCTTGCTACTTGTTCTCATTTTCACCTCGCCATGCTTTTCCTTCCCCCGATCCCCAGTAGACTTCGTCGGGGGGGTCGCAAATTTCCACGTCTCAACAACCTGCCCCGAGCTTTGGTGCAGGGCGACCAACTCAAAGCCGTCCCATGAGGTGGTCCATATGTTGGTGCACGTCTCGTGCAACGTGTTGCTACGTCGCATTGGCTCTGAGTAAGTAACGCAACCACAACAAATGTAACAACCACGACCCTCAAAAGACTCACATAGTCAGACCCTTAATGTAGGGGCCTGGATAATTTCAACCCCCAAAAAACAGTATTGGTAATTATTCAGGCTCCTATATTGCGTGGACCCTTCTAGATTCGAATCCTGTTGAAGCCTCGGTCTTTGTTGCGTGCTTTCCTACCCTGTCTTTCCGGCCTTTGGTCTTCAGTGGGTTTGATGCACAAGCGGCTGCTATAATCCCTAAACCCTAAACCCTATAAACCTTAAACTAACCCTAAACCCTAAACCCTAAACCCAGTAATGATGAGTAATGCGGATGCCTAAGCAGCTACACGATGGGGTTAAGGCTTCTGTCTGGTCGTCGCGGGCCCTCCCCTACTTTTGCCCAGTATTCTGCGCTGATGGTGTAGGGGTTTTTGGTTTAGGGTTTAAGGTTGGGTTGTGTTCAGAGGTTTAGGGTTCAGAGTTTCAGGCTTCATCTGCACTGTAGGTCCAGAGGCAACAAGTCCTCAAGGTTTAGAGCCTTCTGGCGCTTGTGACGTAATCCAGACTATAACCGAAGCTGCATACTGCCCTAAACCTTGAATCGTACTTAAGAGCTCGGGGGACTCAGTAGGTAGGGCTATATTTGGTAAAAGGAAACTACAGGTGGGGAGTTTCGGGTATATAGGGCTTCTGTAAAGCTTCTATAAGGGATATAGACGTTCTACAAGGCTCCTATAACGGTAACTACCCACCTGAAAATGTCCTAGACTTAGGGTTTACAAGTCCCCTAATTAGGTGGGGCTCTCCTATTTATAGCCTTACTTGAAACCTTGCATACCAAGTCCCCTGGGCCGCTAAGTAGACCCTACAAGCCCTTTGCCGAAACCCTAAACCTTAATCGCTAAACCCTAAACCCTAAAGCCTTAGAACCTTGCGGAGTTTCAAGATGGTTCAAGTCCCTCGGGTCTTGGCTAAGAGCCCGCAGGGTTCGGCTTTCGCTTAGGATTCACGGCAGTTGAGGGAGCCTAGACTTTAGGGCTTTTGGATTGTAGGGTACAGGGTTTAAGGGTTTAGGGTTTAGGGGTTTAGGGTTTAGGGTTTAGGGTTTAGGGTTTAGGGTTTAGGGTTTAGGGCTTTTGGATTGTAGGGTACAGGGTTTAAGGGTTTAGGGTTTGTTTTTTATAAGTTGGGATGGCAACTTTGGGTTTAGGGTTTAGGACATCGGATTCAGGGTCAGATCATAGGCCTTCCGGATAGACCGCAACCGGGACAGAACCCGGTGCTGACCCCTGGATCGCCGAGCACAGGACAAGTGCGTCCTGCATGATGTTTCCCAATCTCATGATTTCATCTGGCTTGATGAAAGCACCTCAAACTTAGAACTTTCCCTAAGAGTCCATGTGCCCAAATAGTATATACTTTGGCCCCAAAGTACCCATATAGGGACTACTTTGAGGCCAAAGAATATACTATATGGGTACATGGACCCTTTGGGTTTCACACAAAGGCACAGCTCGCAAAAAGAGTAACAACTACGTCCGGGACCAGCTCCAACGATCTCAAGGCAACTCTCACAGAACACACTTTAAACTACAAGGGCCCCAAGCCCCAATTACGCCCTAAATTCTAGACCCCAAAGCACCAAATGCCCACATCCTCAAATCCCTTGCGGCCTGCTCGTCTTCCCACAAAGGCCAGCAATTCTGGCGTTGCAGTGCCAACTGCCTCACCTGCGATGTAGGCTGTTTTCTTGCTGATGGGAGGAGGGACTGCAGAGTTGCCCTAAAGGGCTTAAGGTTTAGGGCCGCAATGGTCAGACTACTAGGTATGAAAAGGCATATTTACCTTAAACCCCTCAGCCCTAAACCCTAAACAGGTATATCTGAACCATTTGGGTAATTTTATAAGTTAGGGCCCCTTTCTAGATTCCAAACATAGCACGGCATCCTTATAAACATGACCCTAAAAGGGACCCTAATCCAAAGGCTCCAGATGGACTACCACTATGGACTTAGTTGCCACAAGAATAATCCTTACTATGGCTTTAAGGGCCTAGTTCCATAATAGTAGTATGTCTGGAGCAATTTGAGTAGTTCTCTAAAATAGTGTCCCTTTTTAGATCCCCACTATAGCACGGCACCCTTATAATAATGACCCCAAAAGGGGACCCACATGTTGAAAACCTCCCATTTAGAGAACTGCCCATTTGGACCATGGCAAAGTACTCAGGGCTTTACGATTGCCGAAGAATGGGTTTAGGGTTTTAGGGTTTAGGGTTTAGGGCGTAGGGTTTAGGGTTTTAGGGTTCAGGGTTCAGGGTTTAGAGTTTACGGTTTATAGGGCTTAGAGTTTAGGGTTTAGGCTTTTACGGTTTAGGGTTTAGGGCTCAGGGTTTAGGGTTTAGGGTTCAGTACGAACCTCGGGTTCAGGGTTTTAAGGTTCGAGTTTTGGGGCTAATGGGTTTAGGGCTTTGGGGGCTCAGGGTTTAGGGGTTGTGGCGCCAAGGGGCTTAGGGGTGGGGGTTTCCGGCTTCACATGTACGGCTCTGTGGTGACCTTAGCCGGCAAGTTGTGCAGCAGGTCTCCAGCAATGATAGGTTCTATCTAGAAAACAATGGGTTATTGGACTCCAGTGTTGAAAGCTTTTGGTCAGGACCTGAGAGACAACCTAAACCTAAGGATCTGGCAGTTCTGGTGTCCTGGAGCCCTGCTTTTACACACCCTCTACCCCAAGACGGACCTTGGTGGTTCAACTGCTCTTGCGGGCCCCTGTTTGGGTTCTCTTAAGACTAAACCCTAACCCTCAACCCCTAAACCCTAAACCCTCAAACCCCTACACTAAACCCCTAAAGCCCACAACCCTAACCCCTAAACCCCTAAACCCCTAAACCCCTAAACCCCCAAACCCCTAAACCCCACAACCCTAAACCCCTAAACCCTAAACCCATAAACCCTAAACCCTCAAACCCCTAAACCCCAAACCCCTAAACCCCTAAACCCTAAAGCCCCAAACCCCTAAACCCCACAACCCTAAACCCTAAACCCTAAACCCCCAAACCCCCAAAACCCCCAAACCCCTAAACCCCACAACCCTAAACCCTAAACCCCTAAATCCTAAACCCCCAAACCCCCAAACTGGCCTCCATGATCGCCTCCAGCCTTTCGAGCCTCCTTGGCGAGGCTCTTGCGGCTTCTGGGGTGGCAGTCCGTAGGGCTTCGGGATGTACCCTAAGAGTGTTCTAGGCTGCCTTTACTAAGAACCCCAGAAGACCCTTTAAAAAGGAGCCCTGTTATAGTCCCCACAATCCCCTTAAAACGAGCCCTTATAGAGGGCTCTACAGAATCTTGAGACGAAGTGCACCCCCCCAAGTTGCACCTTTCAGCCAGGCTGAGACTACCATCGGTTTAGAGTTTAAGGTTTAGAGTTTAGGGTTTAGGGTCTGAAGGTCGCGAACCGAGGATTACCTGGGCCTAGTAATGTAGGGGCCTGAATGATTTAAATAGAGTTTGGGTGTATAAGAACGATAAATGTAACAAGGAGGTCCCCAAAAATAACGTAGGCAGTTTTTAAGGCCAGAATATTGCTTCTTTCGGTTGAGAATTTATAGGGCCTGGGGCTTAGGGCACGTGATTCTGTAGGGGTGAAGGGGCTCGCGTGCAGACATAAGAAGGGACTGTTGGGAGACAGGGTTTAGGGTCTGGGGTTTAGGGGGACTGTAGGGAGATAGGGTTGGACTTGCATTGTATGGAGGGTTTTATCATTAACGGGTGCAAGGATAGGTATATCGCCGGTTACAGATACCTTCACCTTTCCTGCACGTAGCTGCTCCTATCTGCCCATGACCCCCTAACGCAGCCCTGCCACTTCAGGCCTCTCCACACCCACAAAACCCTAAACCCAAAACCC